AGAAAGAAATGACGAAGGAAAAAAAGAAAGAAAGAATGGTGGAAAGATCGAACCAAACAAGGAAGAATAGAAAGAACGAAAGATAGAATGAAGGAAAGAAGAAAGAAGGAAAGAAAGAATTGTTGAAAAAAAGAAGAATGAAGGAAAGGTGGAAAAAAGTAATGTAACAAAGAAAGAAAGCAGAAAGGAAAGAAAGAAAGAATTAAAGGGAGAAGAATGAAGGAAACACGATTAAAGAAAGAAGGAACGGAAGAAGGAAAGATCAAAAGAAAGAAAAGATGAAAGAAAGAAAGATTGAAAGAAAGGGAGAAAGAAAGAAAGAAAGAAAGAATTAAAGGAAGAAGAATGAAGGAAACACGACGAAGGAAAGAAGGAATGGTAGAACGAACGATCGAAATATAGTAAGAAAGAAAGAAAAGAAGAAAGAAAGAAGCAAGAAAGATTGAATTAACGAAAGAAAGAAAGAAAAGAAGGAAGAAGAAATAAAGAAAGAAAAGTGGGAAGAATGAAAGAAAGAAGGAAAGAAGGAAAGAAGAAAGAAACAGACGATGAAGGAAATAAATGAAGAAAAAAATACAGAAAAAATAATGGGAAAAGCAAAGTAGAACTGAAGAAAGCAAAAAAAGAAAGAAACAAAGAAAGAAGAAAAGAAAGAAAGGTAAAAACAAAGAAATAAAGAAAGTTACAAAGAAAGAAAGAATTTAGAAAGACAGAAAGAAAGAAGGAAAGAAAGAATGAATGAAAGGCAGAAAGGAAGAAAAAAAGAAACAAAGTAAATAAGCATGTAAGAATGAAAGATCGAAGGAGACAAAAACGAAAGAAAAAGGAAAGAATTAATGAAATATGGAGTTAGAAAGAAAGAAAGACAGAAAGAAAGATAAATAGAAAGAAAGAAAGAAAGAAACCAAGAAGGAAAAAAAAAGGTGGAAATCAAACAAGCAAAGAAGGGAAGAAAGAAAGAAAGAAAGAAGGAAGGAAGGAAAGAAAGAAAGAAAGAAAGAAAGAAATTAAGAAAGAAGCAAAGAAAGAAATAGAAACAATGAAAGAAAGGAGGAAAGAACAACACAAAGAAAGAAAGAAGGAAAATAACAAATAAATAAAGAAAGAAATGACGAAGGAAAGAAAGAAAGGAAGGGGGAAAGAACGAATCAAACAAGGAAGGGTAGAAAGAAGGGAAGAAAGTAGAATGAAACAAACAAAGAATGAAATGAAAGAAGTAACCGAATAAACCAGGGGGGAAACGATGAAAGAACGAAAGAAATGTAGAAGGAACAAAGGAAAGAAAGAAGAAAGAAAGAAAAGAAGGGAAAAGAAAGAAAGAAAGATAGGAAGAAAGAAAGGTGGAAAGAAAGAAGGAAAGAAGGAAAGAAGAAAGAAAGAGTCAATGAAGGAAATAAATAAAGAAAAAATATACAAAAAAAAATGGGAAAAGCAAAGTAGCACTGAAGAAAGCAAAAAAAGAAACAAAGAAAGAAGAAAAGAAAGAAAGGTAGAAAGAAAGAAAGGTCGAAAGAAAGAAAGACAGAAAGAAAGAAAGGAAGAATGAATGAACGAATGAATGAAAGAAGGAAAGAACAAAAAAAAGAAACAAAGTAAATAAGCATGTAAGAATGAAAGAACGAAGGTGAGAAAAACGAAAGAAAAAAGAAAGAATGAATGAAATATGGAGTTAGAAAGAAAGAAAAAGAAAGGTACAAGAAGCAAAGACGGAAAGAAAAGTGGAAATCACCAAACAAACAAATAAGGAAAGAAAGAAAGAAAGAACAAAAGAAAGAAAGAAAGAAGGAAAGAACGAAGGAAAGAAAGAAAGAAGGAAAGGAAGAAAGGTAGAAAGAATGACAGAAAGAAAGGAAGTAAATAAGCAAGTAAGAATAAAAGAACGAAAGACAGAAAAAAATAAAGAAAAAGAAAGAATTAATGAAATCCCGAGTTAGAAAGAAAGAAAGAACGAAAGTAAGAAAGAATGAGAAACAAAAAATGAAAGAAAAGTGGAAATCACCCGATAAACAGAGAAGGAAAGAAAGAAAGAAAGAATGAAAGGAAGGAAGAAAGAAAGAAAGAAGGAAAAATTGAAAGAAGGAATGAACCAAGAAGGAAAGAAGTAAGAAACAGAACACGATGCAAAGAAAGAAAGAAAGAATGAAAGGAAGAAGAATGAAAGAAAAATCGATGAAAGGAAGAAAGGATGGTAGAAAGAAAGTTAGAAAAACAGGTAGAACGGTAAAAAGAAAGAAAAAAGAAAGAATGGTTAAAAGAAAGAAAGACAGAAAGAAAGAAAGAGAAAAAAGAATAAAGAAAGAATACATGAAATACAGAGTGAGACAGAAAGAAAGAAGAAAGGAAGAAATGAAGGAAAGAACGAAAGAAGGAAAAGAAGAATGAAAGGAAGAGGAATGAAGGAAAGTTGGAAAGAACGATAGAAACAAAGAAAGAAAGGAAGAAGAAATGAAAGAAAGAAAGATAGAAAGAAAGAAACAAAGAAACCAAGAAAGAAAGAAAGAATGAAAGAAGGAAAAAACGATGCAGGAAAGACAGGTAGAAGAAACAAAAGAAAGAAAGAAGGAATGAATGAAAGAAAGAATGAAATGAAAGAAGCAAAGAAATAAAGAAGGGGAAAAACGATGAAAGGAAGAAAGAAAGGTAGAAAGAACGAAGGAAAGGAAGGCAGGCAGCAAGGTACAACGGAAGAAAGAAAGAAATGAAGAAAGAAAGAAAGAAAGAAGGCAAGATAGAAAGTAGAAGGCAAAACAGAAAGTAAATAAGCAAGTAAGTACGAAAGAACAAAAGATAGTTAAAAAAAAAAGAATTAATCAAATACGGAGTTAGAAATAAAGATAGAAAGAAAGGAAGAAAGAAAGAAAGAAAGAAAGGAGACAAGAAAGAAAAAAGAAATTAAGGAAGAAACAAAGAATGAAGAAAGATTACAGCAACAAAGAAAGTTAGAAACAAAGAATGAAAGGAAGAAAGAAAGAATAAAAATCAGACAGAAATAAATATTAAAATGAAGAAAAAAGAAAGAAAGTAAGAATGAAATAAAGAAAGACAGAAAAAAGGTAAAGAAAAAAGAATGAATTAATGATGTATGGATTTAGAAAGAAAGAAAGAATGAAAGAAAGTCAGAAAGAAAGTCACAAAGAAGGAAAGATAGAAAGTAAATGAGGAAGTACGAATGAAAGAAAGAAAGACAGAAACAAAAGAAAAAAGAAAGAATTAATGAAATATAGAGTTCGAAAGAAAGACAGAAAGAAAGAAAGAAAGAATGAAGGAAAGGAAGAAAGGAAGAAAGAAAGAAGTAAAGAATGCAAGAATGAAACATTGAAAGAAAGAAAGGAAGACCGAAAAAAGAAAGAAAAGATGAAGGAAAGAAAGAAAGAACCAAAGAAGGAAAAACGATGCAGGAAAGTCAGGTAGAAAGAACAAAAGACAGAAAGAAAGAAAGAAAGAAATGAATGAAGCAAAGAAATTAGAAGGGCAAAAACAAGGAAAGGAAGAAAGAAAGAAACGAACAAGAATGAAGGAAAGAAAGAAAGACTGAATGAAAGAATGAAACAGTGAAAGAAAGAAGAAAAATAAATGACGAAGGAAAGAACGAAAAAAAGAAAGAAAGAAAGTTGAAAGAAACCTAGAAAGAAAGAAAAAAGAAACGAAGAAAGAAAGATAGAAAGAAAGAAAGAAAGAAAGAAAGAAAGGAAGAAAGAAAGAAAGAAAAAAGAAAGAACGAAAGAAAGAAGGAAAGGAAGGAAGGAAGGAAGAACGACAGAAAGAAAGGAAGTAACTAAGCAAATAAGAATGAAAGAACGAAAGGCAGGAGAAAATAAAGAAAAAGAAAGAATTAATGAAATACAGAGTTAGAAAGAAAGAAAGAACGAAAGAAAGAAAGAATGAGAAACAAAAAATGGAAGAAAAGTGGAAATCACCAAACAAAGAAAGAAAGAAAGAAACTGAGAAAAGATGAAAATAGAAAGAAAGAAAGATAGGAAGAAAGAAAGGTGGAAAGAACGAAAGAAAGAATGAAAGAAGGAAAGAAGAAAGAAACAGCTGATGAAGGAAATAAATAAAGGAAAAATACAGAAAAAAAGATGGGAAAAGCAAAGTAGAACTGAAGGAAGCAAAAAAGAATCAAAGAAAGAAGAAAAGAAAGACAGGTAGAAAGAAAGAAAGAAAGGTACAAAGAAAGAAAGAAAAACAGAAAGAAAGAAACAAAGACACAATGAATGAATGAATGAAAGAAGGAAAGAAAGAAAAAATGAAACAAAGTAAATAAGCATGTAAGAATGAAAGAACGAAGGGGAGAAAAACAAAAGAAAAAAGAAAGAATGAATGAAATATGGAGTTAGTAAGAAAGAAAGATAGAAAGAAAAAAATGCAAAAAAGGAAGGAAAAGTGGAAATCACCAAACAAATAAAGAAGGAAAGAAAGAAAGAAAGGAAGGAAGAAAGAAAGAATGAAAGAAATAAAGAAAGAAAGAAGGAAAGGAAGGAAGGAAGAAAGAGTGGAAGAAAGATAGGTAGATAGATAGATAGATAAAGGAAAGGTGGAAAAATTAACTTAACAAAGAAAGAAAGAAGAAAAGAAAGAAAGAAAGAATTAAAGGAAGAAGAATGAAGGAAAAACAATGAAAGAAAGAAGGAACGGTAGAACGAAGATCGAAAGATAGGTAGAAAAAAGAAAAGAAGAAAGAAAGAAAGATGGAAAGAAAGAAAGAAAGAACGAAAGAAAAGAAGACAAAAGAAAAAAACAGCCGATGAAGGAAATAAATAAAGAAAAAAATATAGAAAAAAATGCAAAAAGCAAAGTAGAACTGAAGAAAGCAAAAAAAAAGAAACAAAGAAAGAAGAAAAGAAAGAAAGGTAGAAACAAAGAAAGAAAGAAAGTTAGAAACAAAGAAAGAAAGACAGAAAGATAGAATGAATGAATGAATGAAAGAAGGAAGGAAAGAAAAAAAATGCAACAAAGTAAATAAGCATATCAGAATGAAAGAACAAAGGGGAGAAAAACAGAAGTAAAAAGAAAGAATGAATGAAATATGGAGTTAGAAAGAACAAAAGAAAGAAAGAAAGGATTGAAAGAAAGAAACACAGAAGGAAAGTAACGTGGAAATCACCAAACAAACAAAGAAGGGAAAGAAGGAAGAAAGAAAAAAGAAAGAAAGAAAGAAGAAAGAAAGAAAGAAACAAAGAAAGAAATAGAAACAATGAAAGAAAGAAAGAAAGGAGGAAAGAACGACACAAAGAAAGAAAGAAGCAAAATAACAAATCAAGAAAGAAATAAATGACGAAGGAAAGAAAGAAAGAAAGGTGGAAAGAACGAATCAAACAAGGAAGGATAGAAAGAAGGGAATAATGTAGGAACGAAGGAAGGAAAAATCGATGAAGGAAAGACAAGTAGAAAGATTGATAGAAAGAAGGAATGAAACAAAGAAAGAATGAAATGAAAGAAGCAACTAAACAAACAAGGGTAAAAACGATGAAAGTAAGAAAGAAAGTTAGAAAGAACGAAGGAAACAAAGAAAGAAAGAATGAATGAAAGAAAGTCAGAAAGAAAGTCACAAAGAAGGAAAGATAGTAAGTAAATTAGGAGGTAAGAATGAACGAATGAAAGACAGAAAAATATAAAGAATAAAGAAAGAATTAATGAAATACGGAGTTCAAAAGAAAGACAGAAAGACAGAAAGAAAGAAAGAAAGAAAGAAAGAAAGAAGGAAGGAAAGAATGCAAGAATGAAACATTGAAAGAAAGAAAGGAAGAGCAAAAAAAGAAAGAAAAGACGAAGGAAAGAAAGAAAGAACCAAAGAAGGAAAAACGATGAAGGAAAGTCAGGTAGAAAGAACGAAAGACAGAAAGAAAGAAAGAAAGAAATGAATGAAGCAAAGAAATAAAGAAGGGCAAAAATAATGAAAGGAAGAAAGAAAGAAATGAAAAAGAATGAAGGAAAGAAAGAAAGAATGAAAGAATGAATGAAAGAAGGAAAGAACAAATAAAAAGAAACAAAGTAAATAAGCATGTAAGAATGAAAGAACGAAGGCGAGAAAAACGAAAGAAAAAAGAACGAATGAATGAAATATGGAGTTAGAAAGAAAGAGAGAAAGAAAGGAAGAAGGAAAGAAAGAAAGAAAGATAGAAAGAAAGAGAAAGAAATAAAGGAGCAAGGTACAAAAATAAAGAAAGCAAGAAAGCAGGAAAATAATAAATAAAGA